TGAAAGCATGGGCAATTAACCAAGATACCTTTCAGATTTTAAATATGAACATACGTCACAAATGATATGGATCCCTGATGGATTGTGAACTTCTCCCCAAACGTTGAGTTATAAAAAGAATGTTATATATTTTAATAGTAAAGTTTTAAATGTGATGTGGTGATATTTTATTAAACGTGAATGACAATTTAAAAGAAAAACAATAGGACATAAGTTATTATGTATAAAATGTATGGAGAACAGGCTTGACTCAATGAAAAAGACAACGTTCGTAGATTTTGAAAACATAATTTGCTCCATATACTTTTAATAGTAGAATTATGGTAATTTTCTGTTTTTTCGTGCCTCTGATTTTGCTATCTTTCCATTATCATTTATATTCCAAACTATCATTAATTTACGTATTCCAGTTAAGGGTAATGTCTGAGGTAAGAGAGTTTAGCATGCTGATCAATATTGATAAACTTAATTGAACAGTGTGAATTATTGATTTATTGCATGATTAAGTTTAAACTATTAATTCTTTGTAATTAATGGTTTAAAAGAAACAGTTAAATTATTTATTTGATAAGATTTGCTTTCATGTTCTCTATTTACATCCTCGTGAAAGGCGCCATTCATCCCTTTTCTCAAAACAAAGCACATCCGCTTTGCGTGACTTAATTGTGTCAGCTAACCCGTCAGAATAAGAGAAAGCGACACCACTTAAAGATGACGCATTCAGTCCACGCGATTTGTGGCGAGTTTTTTCCTTCTTCTGGTCTTGTATTTACTAAGCAGCTTGTACTCACTAGGGATACAGTGTTACGAGGTTATTGCAAGGAAGCATTAACGCATATAACGTAATATTCACGCATACATATAACACGTACCTCTTGGTCTGGAACTACTTCATGACAATGTAAAAGAACATGACACCAATGCTGTCCCGAAATTCGAGTAGTAGAAAGGCGCTGTGAGAAATAAACATAAAAAGACGACTGTTTGAACCAATATTACATAATTGTGAATCAGAAATATTGTAAATGCACAATCGGCTTGTCAATTTCAAACTAGTAATTATGAATTATTTTGTTTTGGAGTAAGTTTTCGTGCAGAAATGATTACATTGCTAGCCTTAATATCCAGCTATCGTGTATTTTCTTTTGTTTTTGAGGATATCTTGAATATTAGGGACAAAAAGAATTTCACAAATACATTTCTTTCATTTTACACGAAGTAGATTTTACAGCCATTTTCCACGAGAAAATTATGCACTACACTTAAGGGACTAATGATCTTAACAGTTGACACTAACCAATCAATGAAATAACAATTAGGGAAGAGGCTCTCCATGTTATCTGTCAATCCTGTACAAGTGTCAACATAAAAACAAACGTACCATGTTTTTTTATTTATAACAAAAAATTTACAATCTATTTTTTTACAAAATAATAAGTAAATACGA